CCACCACCACCACCACACACACCACCACCACCACCACTGGGCACTTGCTGGGTGCCTGCCATATTTGGGGCTCAGGCACCTCTCTAGGAGGCTGGGCCTTGCCTCCCGCACACGGCCCTGCCCCAATTCCCGACCTGTACAGCAGCCTATTTCCCAGGATGCCAAGCCACCATCCACTGCCTGCAGCCCAGGGTTCTAACTGGACTTCCAGTGACTCACCTGACTTAGGAAAGCCTCCTGGCCTAAGACAGCATGTAACTGGTCCCAGGCAGCTCTAGGCCCCACCGTGACAACCCCCTCCCCCGAAACCCCAGATTCTCTACACCACCCCCCACCCCCGTGTATCAGCAAACTGCTCTGGGGTCGGTGTCTGGGAAGACTACCAGGCCTCTCTTCCAAGTGGTCACGGTGGATTTGAACCCCCTGCTTCAGAGACGTGGGAATTCTGAGCTCTGGGAAGGCCCTGTTGAGACGCCACCCAAACACAAAATCAAGCCCACTTACTGCTGACGGTTCTGACCCAGAGACCCCCACTCCCTGGTTTCTGAGACAGCCTCATTCTTCTTGGGAGCAGCAGCTGTGGGGTTCAGGCTGCCGACCGCAGTTAGCGTGCTCCAGCAGGACAGGCAGGGGTACGGGTGTCCCTGGGTGACTCAGGGCGTCCCTGCAGGAGAGAGCGGTCCAAGGTGCCCTACATCGTGCGGCAGTGCGTGGAGGAGATCGAGCGCCGGGGCATGGAGGAGGTGGGCATCTACCGCGTGTCGGGCGTGGCCACGGACATCCAGGCGCTGAAGGCGGCCTTTGACGTCAGTGAGTGTGGGCCCTGCGTGCTGGGGGGCAGGGGAATGACAGCTGGGCCCTCGGGTGCTGGGTGAGCCCCTGCAGGGAGCAAGTCATCTGGGCGTCCCCATCTCCGGGGGTGGGGTGAGGGTCTGGGGGCGGGGCAGGGTGGGGTGAAGGAGACTGGAAAGGGGGCAGCTGCTGGGGAGGGGCTGCTCTGGGCTGAGCCCTCCCCCTGCCCCCCAGACAATAAGGACGTGTTGGTGATGATGAGCGAGATGGATGTCAACGCCATCGCTGGCACGCTCAAGCTCTACTTCCGTGAGCTGCCCGAGCCCCTCTTTACCGACGAGCTGTACCCCAACTTCACCGAGGGCATCGGTGAGCACACCGCCCAGGGCCGTCTCCCCCTGTGCTCCCCTCCCCCCACCCTCCTGCTTCCCCTTGCCCACTCTCCCCCACACACCCCGGGCTGCCCCCCAGCTGCGTCTGCCTGCCGGCCCTACCCCCTGCCTGCCCTTCCCTTGCTCCCAGGCTATCCCTGTCTACAACCCCCCCACCCCCACTGCTGCTGTCTGCAGGGCTACCCTCCCACATGGTAGGGCCCCGGAGGAAAGGCAGGCCTCCTCAGGCCAGGGCTGACTGCAGAACCCTCCCCGGTGCCCCAGCCAGCATTCAGGCTTCCCAGCTATGGGGGGTCTCTGGGACTTGAGGCAGTGGGTGGGGGCCTAATCAGTCCTGTTGGGGGTGGGGTAAGTGTTGACTGCCCTCACTCTGCTCGTCCCGCCATGAGTCTGGGAGGAAGCCCGCTGCCAACAGCCGATTCCTATGTAGGGCTTCCCAAATTGTCCGTCTTATGGGAGCAGGCTGCCTCACCTTTCTTCCTCAGAGCGGCTGGTGGGTTTGAACCCGCCACCTTGGGTTAGCAGCCCAGTGCTGACCCTGCAGGGCCACCACTGCTGGTAATCTGGATGCTTCCCTGCCACCTAGTCTCCATTCCGGCACCAGCAGCCTCCCCTGACAATGCGTAGGGGCTGTCCCTGAGGGGGACCAACAGGGAACCGAACTGGGGTCCCCTGAGTGGGAGGCCAGGATTTCACCACTGATTCCTTGAGGAGGGAGACAGACCACCCAGTTGGCCACCCTGGGCAGGTGTGCAGATGGGGCGGGCCTGCTCCTGCCCTCCCACACTCGAGCAAGCCAGGTGTGTGACCTGCCCCCGTCTCCACAGCCCTCTCTGACCCCGTGGCAAAGGAGAGCTGCATGGTGAACCTGCTGCTGTCGCTCCCAGAGGCCAACCTGCTCACCTTCCTGTGCCTCCTGGGCCACCTCAAAAGGTAGCTTGTGTTCCATTGTACCATGTGTGGATGAAGCACCGATAAACCTGTGGGAAAACCAACAACGGAGTCGGGGTGGC